TTCCATTTACGTTCAATATATTATTTCTCTTTGCAGAATCCTATACGAACTAATATAGAACACATGTATACACCAATACAAAACTCATAACAATAGAAAATGAAACAACAACGAACAAGATTGAACCCTCTCTTTTAAGCATCGAATGAAATATAACTTACTAAATAGTGAATTATTTTATTAATAAACATAGAAAATAAGAAAATAGCCAAATTTGAAGGAAAGACAATATGTTCAATTTCATAAAATAGTAAAGAAATAATATTACCCTTCAATTCATCCATGACAAATCTGAAGAACAAAATGAAAATGAAGACACACATTAGTTTACAAGTTGGAAGGAATGACATCATATGAGATAGGCTACTATTTTATACTTAGGTTAAATGTTTAGTTGTGTCAATCCCAATTAGCCTATGTGACTAAAAAGTAACATATGCAATTAGAACAGTACCATCTGATATAATATATAATATATATATGGAACGGAACATATGGAATAAAATGTGAATATTATATTGTTCTGATATGATTCTTCAACCCTAAATCGATTCGTTTACCTCAGTTTATCAAATCGGGCAAGCAACATAAACGATGGGTTAGATTATCAACTTAGAATATACTAGAGCCGAATCTATTTCAAATAGGGGAAATATCATTGAAACCCGAAATAAAAGACAAAATAACATCAGATGAAGATAATGGAAGGTTGAAACCCGAGAACTTACCATGGATGAAGAGATCCGAGAAGAATCGAATTTGAGAAGTGGAATTGACACAGGTTGTTGAGCGGTTCTGCTGCGGTTGACACATCATGACCCGCGAGAAGTCGGGATGCTTTCGATTCTTCTCAGCAACCTGTGTCAATTCCACTTCTCAAATTCGATTCTTCTCGGATCTCTTCATCCATCGTAAGTTCTCGGGTTTCAGCCTTCCATTATCTTCATCTAATGTTATTTTGTCTTTCATATAATCGATACACATCTGCTCTCGTTGTGTTTCGACAAATGGTCTTGACATCAGCATTCAAATACTTCCATGTGTCTCTCACTTTTTCATACTCCACGTACGAGTAGGGTAGATCATGTTGTACTATTGTCTTAGTTACCATCTGCCTAAACACAGCATGATCATACTTACGAGGAACAACTTTGCCCTCGGGGTTGAGTTTTTGCTGACCATCTCGATTCCTTTGATACATTTTACATCTATTACGATGCCTTCTCAACCCACTGGTTCCATGAGAATGGGAATGCCATGCATACTCATTCCTGCAGTGATTGCATGCATCTTTCAACTTCCCACTGGCTTTATGTACCACCTTAAAATCGCTCCACACATCTGATCTTTGCCTCTCTTCCCTTTTCCTCCTCACCGAGTTCATCATCATCATCATCCTCTTCTTCATCCTCGAGTTCATCGTCAAAGTCAGGTATGTCCTCTACGACCTTCTCCTTCTTATTTTGCGACTTAGTAAGCACGACCTTCTTCTTTGGCGATTTAGTAGGCACGGCCTTTCTTCTCCCTCCACGAATCACAGAATTCATAGGAACAGACTTCCTACACGCCTGTGAGGACGAGCCAATGCCACCATCTATAGTGGATTGCAACATCGGTTTCCTCGAGGCTGTTCCAAAAGAAGTCTTTCTGCGAGGCTTGGTTTTTTGAGTTGATGGAGTGTCTCAACATCAGAATAATCAGTTTCATCTACAAGACTGATAAGCTTTCTTTTGCTTCCTTTCTTTCCAGGAACGCAAGCTACATCGTCTTCAGGGAACCGATTAACGTTTGTTTCTTCTGCAACAAGCTTAGCTATGAGATTTTGAGTTTCCAAATCAACTGTATCTGGTGGGACGTAGTTCGGATCAAACGTGTGATCTTCTGAGTCGCCTCTCGATCCCATGTTCTCTCTCTTAGGTTTTGCGGTTCTGGTGTTTTTTTTTGGTCTCGTCTTGCGGTTTTTCTAAAACTGTTTTAGTTATTAGGGCTTTCTAAATTTTGTTAAAATTCTAATTAAAAAATTGTTAAAATTGTTTTTTAAATATTTGAAATTTTATGCAAGTACACATCCAACTATCCACGTAAATTAAAACCCTTAGCTACCGATAACCTACAATAAGCTATGTTCCACTTCCAGAGATTAAGTTACTCACCTTAGAGCTTCAGTTGTTTTAACTTGATTCTCCATTGATCCTGCTTGTTCACGATCACTCCATCATCTCAGGAAAAGAAAACATAAAATAAAGCTACATAAGTCAAGACAAATAGCTAACCGAGGAAGAGACATCAAACTATCAATGTATCAACTATCAAACTATGCAGCTATAAAACAAACAGCACAATACAAAATCAATGAGCTGAGTCTTGTCTTAACTTAGCACCGAATTTAGCCGCCAAGCCTCTGAACAATCACCCTTGAGTCCTTAGGATGATTTTTCAAAAGCTTAGAGGCCTAAATTCGGTGACCTAGTAAAGACAAGCAATGCAACTCATGAAACACTCAATTCAAACAAATGAACAATCATATAAAAATAAATTTAACAAATTTAGATCAGACATATCAATATACTTTATACAAACAAACTAAGCAGATATAAAACAAACAGCACAATCACAAAATCAATGAGCTGAGTCTTGTCTTAACTTCGGACCGAGTTTAGCCGCCAAGCCTCTGAACAATCACCCTTGAGTCCTTAGGATGATTTTTCAAAAGCTTGGAAGGCTAAACTCGGTGCCTAGTAAAGACAAGCAATGCAACTCATGAAACAATCAATTCAAACAAATGAACAATCATATAAAATTAAATTTAACAAATTAAGATCAAACATATCAATATACTTTATACAAACAAACTAAGCAGATATAAAACAAACAACACAATCACAAAATCAAGGAGCTGAGTCTTGTCTTAACTTCGCACCGAGTTTAGCCGCCAAGCCTCTGAACAATCACCCTTGAGTCCTTAGGATGATTTTTCAAAAGCTTGGAGGCCTAAACTAAGTGACCTAGTAAAGACAAGTAATGCAACACTCAATTCAAGCAATCATATTCAAATAATTTAACAAATTTAGGTCAGACATATTAATTTTAACAAATTTAGATCAGACATATTTTTATTAACAAATTTAGATCAGACATATTAATATTAACCTAGTTCAATCTTGTCTTAAGTTCGCACTGAGTTCAACTGCCCAGCCTGTGAACAATCACCCTTGAGTCCTTAGGATGATTTTTGACAAACTGGGTGGTTTGAACTCGGTGACCTACTAAAGACAAGCAAGTATGATCAAACATATTATAAATATGAATTAATCTATAATATTAGTTAATTATATTAAATTATTAAACATTTATAAATTAAATTATAATATTGAATTTTGTCAAAGTCAAACAAATTAAAATATTACCTTTATAAATTAAATTATAATATTAATTTTTTAATATTAAAAACCTTTATAAATTAAAAAAAATAATTAAAAAAAAAAACAATTAACAAATTTTTGAAGAACATGCAGGGACTCCTCACCGGCGAAGAAGAGAAACGAAGCAGAAGAACTCCTCTCCAATGTAACTTGAATGGAAGCTCCGATTGAAGTACATGCAGGGACAAAATTAAAATTAGACATCATATAAATACAAAGAACATGCAGAAACATACAGAGAGAAAAATACCTTTAGAGGAGGTCGCATGTCGAACCACTCTTGCATGTACCTGAAATTTGGAGAACAAAGTTAGAGAATATTCAAAAAACTAAAAAGATTAAAGACAGAGACATCAAACAAAAATAGTAGTAATCCACCAAAAAAAATAGTAATAATCCACACCTAAAATACCTTCAGAGGAGGTCGCATGTCGAATCACTCTTGCATGTACCTGAAATGTGGAGAACAAAGTTAGAGAATATTCAAAAAACTAAAAAGATTAAAGACAGAGACATCAAACAATACCAGATCCGTCGCATGCATGGAGAGAGAACTCAAAACCCGTCAAGATCGATCAAGATCCGTGAAGATCCGTGAAGATCCATCAAGATTCGTCGCTCAAGAAGCCACCGGACGATGGAGGGTCCTCTTCTCCGGTGGAAAGAGTTTCAAGAATCAAGAACAACAAGATTCTTGTCACAGCTTTCGGGAGAAGAAGACGACCCTCCACCGTCCGGCGGGGTCTTTGCGAGTAACTGGAACTGGAGAAGAAGATTCTCGCCGATCTCGTCTATTTCTCTCACTCTCTCTCTCTCTCTCTCTCTCTTTTTGTTTTTTCAGGTCGGCTGAAATGGAATGGAGAAGAGGAAGCTGTACTTAGAGTGAACCGCGGTCTTCTTTGGGCCGTCCTGCATGAAGCCCATCCCGCGAATGACTCATCCCGCTAGGCCCGCGATTCTGCGGGATACCAATTTCTAGAACCAAACCCCGTCCCGCCACAGATTTTAACGGGGGACAGATTTTAACGGGCCTGTCCCGCGGCCCAGTCCTTACTTTGACATCCCTAGATGCAGAAAAACATCTAATAAAACAATATTAATGTAGAAACTAATGGCGTGTGTAATTCTGTTAGGATAATTAGCTATTTCGCCAATTAGTTTTTTTTCGTGTGTCTATAGGACCCAATTTTTCTTTAATGTTTGCTAATTCGTTTTGTATCATACAAACTCTAGTGTTTATTCCTCTTATGTTGATCTTAGGGCATCCACAATGGTGGACCTCTAGTTGGGGTCCTTAGCCAATAATGATGCTTTTTTTTTTAATTTCTTGAATAGTGAAGTACTCTAATCCTACAAAGTGATTCCAATGGTGGACTCCATTTTGGAGTCCTTAGGAAAAAACCAAACATAAACCGAATACTACTCTCTGATGGAAACACAGCAAGACCAAACATAAAGCTATAAGTAGACAGAGCTCAAACATTTCTGTTCTGTCGTGTCTCTCTAATCGGTTAATAAGTATTTTCTTGTCCTCTGATAGCTAATGATAGCAAAGGTTGTGGAGATTCAACTCCTTTGTTATTCGTATATCTTTCTTCTTTTCAGTATTGTTGGAAGTATGGAGATAAACCCAATGAGGAAAAGCACGGGAAATGTCTTGAAATCATAAAGATCCTTCACCGATTTGAGATCTCCAATAGCAAGGCCAGCCTGCAATACAAAGAACCAAGAATGTTAAGCTCTTCTGAGATATAATCTTGAGTTATGCCAATATTGTAGCGTTATAGAGGGCTTACCGTAACGGTAATATAAGCTGCAGGGATGAGACCAACCAATGTCGCCAAAAGAAGACATGAAAAGGTACATCAACTATTGGAGAAGCCAAATTAATAAACAGATTGGGCAGTGTTGGTGTTATCCTCAGAAACAACATATAATTCATAAGCTTGTCTCTTCGCTTACCAATCTGAAAAAACACACACAACCAATCATCACAATCCTTACATAAGTTAATTCATTAAGCAAAAGTAAGGAGCTCTATCTACCTCAACCTGAAAGAATCTTAGTTTGTCAGGCCACAGCCAAGTAATCAACGGCTGACCAATCAACTTAGAAAGAAAGAAACAACAAGTAGCACCAGCGATAGCATTGAAAACAACCAAGATACCACCTTTGACAACACCAAACAGAGCTCCAGCTAAAAGCGACATAAAGATAGTCCATGGAATCATAAACACAACAAAGTTCACAACAGAGCTCCAGCTAAAAGCGACATTATCAAAATATCCATTATCTAATAAAAAATTTGAATCTTATCAGTTAAACTCATTGGCATAGTTTGCTAAATTGTCTCCCAAACACAACAAAGTTCACAACTTTATAAATACCCATTAGCAAAAACACGATTATCTTACAAAAAGTTTTAATCTTTATCAGTTATACTCATTGGCATAGTTTTCTAAATTGTCTCTGAAACACAACAAAGATTACAACTTTATCAATACCCTTTATCAAAAAAAAATCGATTATCTGTAGAAAGTTTGAATCTTTATCAGTTATACTCATTAGCATAGTTTGCTAAATTTTATCTAACGCAACAAAGGTTACAACTTTATCGATACCCATTATCAAAAATCGATTCTTATAAAAAGTTTGAGTTTTATCAATATACTTGAGCAAGCAGAGATCAGAGATGCTTCTTGGGAGCTTGAGTTTGACGAACTCTGCAGAAGGCATGGTGATGTAGATGCAGAAGAGACCTGAGGAGAAGACGAGGAAGACGCCGAGAGATACTGCTAGTTCCCATCGGCTGAGAGGGAATCAATCGAGTTTAGATCGTTTTCCCGATGGAGAGTCTTCTTCGTCGTCTGATAGTGATTCGAGTTCTTCGTCTCAGAGTAAATTCTGCGTTGTAGAAAGACATCGGAGATCGAATCGCATCAACCTTCGCCTTTCCCTTTTTTTTTTCTCTTCTTCGCGAATGATTTTTTTTTCCTCGTCCACGTTACCTTTCGACCGGTCCAATACGAAGCTGCCACATCTCTACGGATTCGATCCATTAAATCCTTCTCCACGGACTGCTCCTTCCCAGTATCACTCTTTTATTAGTTTTTTATTCAAATGTACAGTTAAGGATTCATATGAACCCTGCTTTGTGGATGCTCTTAAATGTGTTAAAAATAATTACGGACACCAGATAAGAAATAACGACTCAGAGTACCTTGACCATTTTCTAATCTACCGTATACACGAATACATGTGATCACAAAATCAACGGCTCAGATGACCCTAAGCCCTTTCTTTATTACTATAGACACGACCATATGTGATCACAAAAACAAACTTAGGAGGTGACAGTTTCTTCCGGCGAGTAACGAAAAATGGGTATAGAGAAAAAGGGTGGAGGCATGGAGGAGGCTACGGCGGAGTTTGAGAGACTCCAAATCGATATCCTCCGTAGAATCTCAGTTCTGGAAAGCTTGATTCTCCCGGAGAGCTCCTCGCCTTCTCTACCGGACGATGAAAGTCAAACAGTGTCTCGCCTCTCCGCCATTCTCCGTTCCGGCGGCGTTAAAGAATTCTCCTTCAAGAGGGTTTCTCCAGATTACTACGACCGGCCTCTTGAATCCCGCCGCGACGTTCTCGGCGCTTCCTCCGTCGATCATCTCTGCAAGAGCATTGTTCTGGTAACGTCAAGTCTACTCCTTTTGAGGCTATGAAACAATGTTGCCATCTGCTCGTTACTTGTATATCAAAAATTTTACTTCTTTTTGCATCGAATAGAGAGTGTCATGTATAAAGGTTGTTCCTTTTTCGTATGGCTTCCGTCACTAAATGCAGGTTAATACTCAAGCTTCGTCAGATATTAAGGATTGCAGTAATTGCAACAACTCAAAGTATTATGTGGTTGTTGTTCAGGTGCGCCTCCTTATGTTTTCAAAGAACAGCATTCTCTCACCTTTGTTTTCGTTTTCTAACTGAACTGTGGCCATGGCAGTATACCGCCAGATTCAATGCGGAAGCGGTGAAGAGCTTCCTTTATTCACTAAACGAGGGCAAGATCCCAAAGAAAAGATTTAATTGTTAGTGCTTCTTGTTTATATGATCTCGAGCTAGTTATTCACTTCTGTCCCCTGATGATTTCTCTCTTCTCTGTGTAGTGAGACTTGCCCCCGAGGAGACGTCAACTCAGCTCACTGGGTTTGAGCACAATGCTGTAACCTGTGTAGGGATGAAGACAAGCATACCGGTAAGTTCTGAGCCATTTTTCTGCGTCCTGCGTTGTTTCTGCTACAATAATCAATTGGATAATAGACATGTGGTGTGCCATGAGAGTAGCCTCTACCCACTTGTGTTTTCTTCTCCTAGACAAAACCAGTTTTGCACTGTCTTTTGTGTTTGTTAATAGTCACAGAGAATTTCCCTTTTCACATACACCAAGCGTTTTCCAGACTTCACAGTCTAAATTTCTTGTCCTAATTGTCACAGACCCTGAAGGGGTACAATGCCCAATGGGTGACACAGCTACATTTTGTGTTTTGCTTGTTTATCTTGGTCTATAATGGAGTTGTGGTACATTTTAACACTCTTTGCATTTTACATGGAGGCAAAGTTTAGTTAAGAGTTTTTCCTAAGAGCCAGATGCTGATAAGTGTTTGTCCGACTCATTGTCTTTAGGAATTTCTCCGTTTTAATTCAATACCAGAGTTAGTAATGGGTGTCAGATTTAAATGACTTTAATTTTGTTGACTGAGTATGAATAATCTTGGGCTCAGACCCTACTACATTGATGTGCAGAAATTTACTACTTTAGCGTTCATGCCACACATATTTGTGCTACTGTGACACATCTCTTTTTCAAAATAATATTTAGACCTAGTATTCATAGAGTTGGAAGTTCGTTTAGTGGGAGATATGTATAAAATGAAATCTGGTTTCTTGTATTGAGATTAAGCAGTACTGATGAGTTGGCTGGGAAATGTCAGGTTATATTGGATGATGCCATAACCAAACTTAGACCGGACTTCTTCTGGTTGGGAGGTGGGGAGATCGATCTGAAGCTTGGTGTCAGAACATCTGAGTTCCTTGATTTTGTGAAACCATTCGTAGTTCCGTGTAGCTGAAAGCTGAAATCTGTTTAACAACATTTTTTCATGTCTTTCATTCTAAGTAGACCATAAGTATATGGTCGGTACTTTATCAAATTTTACAGATAGCTAAGATTTGAGCTGCGGGCAGTGAGGGTTTTGTACCTTTCACAGACAGACATTGGTATTCTTTTTAATGAAAGACATTGATAGTTTTAAATGGATTGTGTGGCAGAAGGGAGGACTATTTGTATGTAGAAGAAAGAGAGTAACTCTCTTTTTCTCTTAACTTCTCTCTTGACTATCTCTGAAATGTATCTCATTCATTACCCTTTAACCAAATCAACCAAACCAATGCATCCTCTCTCTCTCTCTCAACAAAGAAAAACAACTTAGTGGAAAAGAAGAATTACGCACAAATATAAGGACGCATATTAGAACGTGAACAAGATTATATAGTAAGTTTGTAGTGCTAAAACACACAATAATAGCATGTGCATTTGGAACCAATATTAACGCCGTCACGTTGTATTGATTATACTTTCTTCACAGCTTTAAGTGTATGAGTGTCCAACCATTCAAAATACAAAAAGAATATATATATATATATATATCCCCTTTTATATTAAAAGAGAAATCATTTTAGTGAAAACTTGATACTTGTCGCTCATAAATAGCCTCTTAAGAAAATTCTTTTAATTTCAAAGGTTGATTTTTTTCTTAAATAGTCGAATCTAAAGCCGCTTCTGTTTGGCGCCGTCTCTGTATCATCTCCTTCTCTCTTTGATTTTCTCGGATTCCATGGCTAAGAAAGTTTCTCGATCCTCCTCTTACCAAAACAAAAGAAAACACCTTAAGCCACTTCTGTTCGGTGCTCTCTCTCTCTCTCTCTCTCTCTCTCTCTCTCTCTCTCTCTCTCTCTTCAATTCTCTTAGATTCCATTGGAGCTCCAAAAAAGCCGATTAGTGTAATCAATCCGAATCTTATGTCTCTCAGATTCCGATACGTTGTGAGTCTTCTCCGATCCGATTCGATTCTTTGTCACAGCTCTGAGAATCTTAGGATCCATTGATTTGATTGGATTTTTCTTTCCCCTATAATCGAGAAGATACCTGATAGTTTTTTCTGTACTTTTGATTCGTCTTGGTAGTTCGAAATCTGATTGTTCACAAACTAAGATTTGGATCGTCACTGTTCGTTAATCTAGGTGATTATATATATATATATATATATATATATATATATATATATATATATATATATATCTGTTATGGTTTTAGAGTACTTGAGCCTTGGTACTGTTTTGTAGGGAGTGTGGTTGTTCAGACCAATGTGATAGTGTAGTTTTCTACTGTTTGTCGAGAGACTTGAGTACATGATCTTTGATATAATAAAGTGTTTCTAAAATTGTTTTGGAATTTGTTACAGGAGAAGCTTTGTTATTCAGATGATGAAGCTTTTGCTATAGCCCTCCAGGAAACTGAGGCAAGGGTAATGACTGATAGGTTGTCTGCTTTGACTGGGTTAGTAAATCGTGAGTACACTTATTTATATATCACTCTCAAGTTCTCTTTGAGGGGAATTGGTTTGGGATTATGCTAAAATTAAATGTTTTTGTTGTAGGGGTTGAAGTTCTAGAAGATTATGATCATACTTCTGAGGTAGGCTCCTTACACTCATTGCTACACAACCCTTTTTGATCTTGAGCTATAATTTTTTGTATGGTTGAGAATATGAACCTTTTCGCCTCAGTATGTGAAAAGAAATAAGTGAATCAACCTTATTGTGTGCCATGTAATCGTTTGATTGTCTTACTCTATGAGATTGTTTGGTGCTAGGTCGTATCTAATTTTTTGCACAATTGTATGTTTGGAGGCCAAAATGCATTAACCAGTGTGGTAGTCAAATCAATTGTATTCTGGTAGCGTTAAGGTCACTATTATTGGAGAAAATTATGCTCCACCTGCAGCATAGGACCTCGCTGTGGACTGAAGTTAGATAGAGTCTTGTCCATTTACTGGAGAATCATACAAAGTATTTCTACTTTTAGACGACTTGATTCTGCTTTCACTCACGTTATGTATACTTTATTTTTGCAGGATGCCTGGGATGAGATGGATCCTGATGAGCTTTGATACGAGGTATGAAAACATTCTTAGGTGATATGCCTTTTGGATCCTCTCATGAATTTCTGAAACGATTTATGATTTAATTTTTGGTTTTGACAAAAATAATAATTTTAATTACTTGCGCAAGATTATTACATTGATATCGTATATTAATAACTTTTTCGTGGAGATAATTACAAATTTCAAGATTATTACATTAAGTAATTTAATTTTCGCGTATTAATAACTTTTCTTATTATTCCCCAAAGAAAACTTATGCATCTTGATATCGTACTTATTACATTGTTTAAATGCAATTTACCTTTGGGATTCTAATTATCTTGTTTGTTTTTAAGAACTTACCTTTCTAATATGAATTACTTGCGCAAGTTAAAATCATATCATAGACAATACAGTTTTAATATCTTTCTTTAAACGATTTCAGTATTTATTATGAATAATAGAACGTAACGTCATTATTATAAGAACTTATATATATAGGCGACCCCCAAGGTCTTATAATACAAACATTTTTCTCTTCCGCGTTCAATTTTAGAAAATAATGGCATTGACTCCAAAAGCGTTGTTTCTTATGTTAGAGAATTAAAACCGCGTAAAGATATGTCGCGTATTGAAGTTAAGATTATCTGCTTGTGGAGAAACTAAAACAAGGAATCAGGAAACACCATTAAAATGGTTTTTGTTGATAAAGAAGTAAGTAAAGATATTACTACATTTTTTGACATCTCAGATTCGTCTTTGTTTTATTTTTACTATACAATAAACTCAACCTTTTCTTAGGAAAAATATTGTTTCATATCTAATTTATTTTGCTTTCACCGAACTTTTATAGTTCACTTTGTATAACTCATGACTTTTATATTCCGTATCAGGAGACAATAATTCATGCTTCAGTTGGTGAACAGCTGGTCAGAAAGTATGAAGACAAGCTACATGAGGGAGATGTGATTGTCCTCCAGTTGTTCAAAGTGTACGATGCTATTGGTGACTACCGTACAACCACACATCCGTTCAAAATTGGCTTCTTTCCAAAAACTTTTGTTGCCAAAGCTGATGAGTTTCCAAGTGAAGTCCCCGAAAAGTATTTTGGGGACTACGATGATATTCTTGGTGGAAAACTTGATAACAGCTGTTTGGTTGGTGAGTCAGTTTCATTAACATTTATCATGTAGCTTGGATTTGTATTAATACTCTAACCATTAATACTCTAAAACATAAGTCGCGTGATTAAAATGAGCCACCAGACTTGTTTTAAGTTAAATAAAACACAGTTATGTTATACTTATTCCTGATATTTTCTGTTTTGTTATGTAGATGTTATTGGCCAAATAGTTAACTTCAGGTCTCTCAAAAACAAAATGATAAAAGGAAAAGATAACATGAGGCTCTTGATTGAGTTGCGTGACCAAAAGTAAGCTTATGTTCTTTATTTTTTTATCTTTTATTTTCTAGCTAAACATCTATATTCTATTTTCTCACTTAATTTAATATTTTACAGTAATGTGAAGATGATGTGTACTCTGTAGGGTTGTTATGCTAAACAAGTATATGCTTACAGTATGAATAACATGTCCACAATGATTATTTGTGTTATAAGGTTATGTTCTGTTAAAGAGTGGAAATGTATATAAACGTACTTACTTTTTACAATGTTTACTTGCACATGTTAATAAAATCTAAATATTGTAGGTGCTTACTCCATATATAGCGGTTATAATTCAACACATATTTTTCCCAACCCAAGACTCGATTTGATTGACAAGTTAAAATCAAGGTACTCCTCCAGTTTGACCGTTTTTGTTACCTAATCCTATATTTCTCTACCCACACAACCTACTACAACGTTTTGATTGGATGTATTACTTTATTGTGCAGTCTCCCCAATGATTATCTTTCTCTTACAAACTACGATAGCACCCAATGGTCTGTTGGTACCGCAACATCTGTTCGTGCCAGGTTATTTGTTCTTAATGAGAGGTTAACAATATGAGAGATCATCGATAGTACTATGATATATAAACATATTTTACCACTCATTTTACTATCAAAAGCCACGTGGTTAAATTCTCTTTTTATCATATTTAGGTCTATTTAGTTTCATTTTTCATTTTTGAATAGGTTGGGACTTTTGTTACTCCCCAGGTGATACAAGTAGAATTATAACAGGCAAGATATTTCTGGAGAGTCAATTTGGATCCCGAGAATGTTCGTCACACCACCTGACACAAAGTTTCCTTTCAGAATGCGTTGAAGACAGTTTTCAGTTACGTTGGCTTTTGCGATGATTATCAATAAAATTCAAGGTCAAACGCTGCAAAATGTTGGTTTGTTTCTACCTAGACCAGTGTTTTCTCATGGCCAGTTATACGTTGCACTTTCGAGAGTAAAGTCGAGATCTGGATTAAAAATCCTAATAACGGATAAACAAGGGAAGCTGCAGAAAAAAAACAACAAATGTTGTCTACAAACAAGTTTTTCAGAATATTCCATAGTGAACGGCACACAATTTTAGTCTATTTTTATTCGATAGAGATTTTGAATTATTAAATTCTTACATATGTTTTTTTCTGTTAACATATAGAATAGCACAGACAAAAGACGGGTTGTAGTAGTTGACTAAAAACCAGTTTTAAGACTATTTCGATAACGGTATGTCAATTTAATATAGTTTTGGTTTCAATAAAATTTAAAAATCTATTTTGATATTTGATATCGAACGATTGCTTACAAAATTAAATAATTTTGTGCAGGTTTCTGATTGGAATTTTTTTTATCGAGAATTGTACTTCTTATTTTATATTACTTATGGATTATATTTGAATTTTTATCATATTTTCTTTTAATATGCCACTGTTTTTAAAATTTTTGTTTAAAAACATAAATTTTTGAATTAAATAGAAAACATAAAATTACAGAATTTATAGAACACAATTTCACTTAGTGATAATATAAAGGCGAGCTTCTCATATGGGGTTTGGTGTTTCTTTACATAGACAGTGGAAGAAGCATCCTTCGCTTCTTCTTCCTGGCCGATCTCACCTGCTTTGTGACCTTCATGTAAACAAGTAGTAGCAAAGTGACACATACCAAGATGAAAGCGAGTTGCAATCG